AGACAAAATTCTTACTCATTCCTTAGGTCATGAAGTCCAAAGGAAAAGATGAGACATATTTTCATGTTTAGTAGCTTGTTGTCTAGCACCCCAAGGAGATGCAAAGTGTATTAAAATGCTGGTGCAAAGTGAGGCAAATCAGCTGAACAGGAGTGATGAACGCAGTGAAGCATGCAACATTAATAAGTGAATGAAAACTATTCAAGAAAGGCTCAAGTGTAGCTAAAAATCTCATCTCCGTGCACTCCGAGGATTCGCTTTTGATGGGGTTCAGGTTGCTTTTTGTGCTACCCTTGAGTCACCAAAGCGCGAACTGAACTTTGATGAACTTTGGCACGCAACGAGACATCTGACTGTAGGCAAGCCTACCCGAAAACTGCAGCTGCAACAGTCAGCATGCCTTTCTTTTGCCATTGCAGCTCTACCTTTTGTGGTTTCCTGTGCTAGGTCTTTTCTTGTTGGTGTTTTGTGTCTCGAGTCTGTGGAGGTGAATGGAAATGTGGACTGTGGTTTTTCACAGAACTTGCTAACTCTTTAACAATTGACCGCCTTGATCTCTGTGCTCTACTTTGCAGTAAAATCAGTCTTGCCATCCGCAGTGTTTGCATATAACCCCAATGAAGAATCAGAATGTGCGAGATTAGAGATCAGTGCGTATTGTAAATTCTGTCTATAATAAATTTTGCAGGCTTTACTTTCATTTGATAGTAGTGAATTCAATACACACACACAAAAAAACTAAGTGCAGACATAGAAAAGAAAGGAAGCAGTCTTTATTTTCTTCTTCCATCCACCTCTAAATCCTTAAATTTGATCTCCTCGCCCTGTTTCCTCTATGCACCATCCTCTCGGTGTTGCTCGCCTCTCCTGTAATCTCCCCTACACTTTCCCCGTATTGTTCCTTCCTCGCTCGGTCCCTGCTTTCAGGCTGGTTCGGGTGAGGTTTGGAAGCAGGGGGAGAGAACAGAGAGCCGTCTGGAATCCATTAGCTTGTTGAGGCATCAGTGTTTCACTGTGGGAACCTTATTGATTGCCCTCCTTTATAATTATTCCACCTCCACTCGCTCCGTCTGTCTCTGGCACAGATCATGCTTTCAGTTTCTCTCCCGTTCTCCTGGCCTTCATCCCCTCTTCCCCTTGCCTTTTTTTTTGTTTTGTTTTTTCGTGCTATTTTTATCCATCTTTTCGTGGCATCAAGACTACTTTTCTAAAAGTTGCGCCCAAGGTTTGCATGCTAAAACCCCTAACCAGTTGAGTGACACAGTATCTCTGTGTTTACTGATGCTATCTACGATGTAGTGACATACTTACCGGCAGCATGCAAAGCTACCACATCCTACACGAGAATGAAAATCCTAATCAACTTTAAAAAAAAAAAAAATTAATAAATAAATTTCTTCGTAGAGGCACTGGGCACTTTTATATAACCACCTTTTAATAACTTAATATGTAGATCTGCAGACATAAGCCCTTAAACCCAGCCAGTTTTGTGATGGCAGGTATGTGTATGTTTGAAGGTTTGACCAACCATTTGCCTTTCAGACTCATTCTCGTGTGTGACGGTGAACCGATTCTTTCTTTTTGGGTTATGGTCTGACAAAATGGGATATTTTAACGATGGGTCCTTGGTCTGTGGGAAATTTAGTTTGCAGATTCTGATTCTTGGGGTTTAAATTTAAATAAAACTTCAGCCTTGAGTCAATAAATAGAAAACCGACACTGTTTTCAAGCTCTTATTTCACCGAGCTGTGCACAAAACTCTGATGTTTCCAAACTGCTCTATTACAGTATAACTGTCGAGCTAACCGGCCTCCGTTGAGATCACTTGATTCGCTGGTAATTAAGCCACACATTATAAAGAGTGTGCAGCGTTTTTCATTTGAGAAACTGTTCAGAGAATATTGGAGCCTTTTGTGTGGAAGAAAACAAAAAAAGTGTAATTTCCTGACCATCGACACCCGCTCTTGTAAAACAGAAGGTGGTCTGAATGTTGGATTCTTACTTAATTGTATTTTTTTACTTTATTTTTTTGCCACCCACTATTTTTTGATTTAGCGCTTGTAATTTTGACGATTTCACGCTGCTTCACATCCAAACCCTTATTACGATCGTTTAGAGGCTCCATCCAACCCGAGTACACAGGATCCGAGTCGTAATGGTCAGTCTCAGACAAATGGCTTTTCTTTGTGCTCCCACTGAGGTTGTAAGGTGTAGGTGCAATCAAGCACACGTATCCATGCCGACTGTTTCTACCGTACTGTGCAAAAGTCTTGGGCCCCTTTTTTTCCTTTTCCCTTTCCTTCCTTTTTTCTAAAGCATGTTTTTGAGCGATACCCCTAGGCTTTCTCTACATCTGTCAACGCTTTTCTTTGGATCTTGGCTGCTTTTTCAGTCCAGTCCTTATAGCTGACTAATTCCAACCAGTAGTGTAATGTTAACATACTTAACTCTGACCTGTTTAATCAGAGTTTAATTAGAGAAGTGCACCGAACTCGACAGACAAAACCAGTGTTGTGTCTACAACTTGGCAAAGAAGTCTTTTTAAATTGTGTCTTCAGATACAGCCTGTCACAAAACCACATCATTTGTTCCCCCTTTTTATTTTACATGTTTTCATTGGTTAGCAGTGACTTATTACCCTAAAGAGATTTTGTTCCTTGCAGATTTGTTTCTTTTTTTCAGTCCTGAGGAGAATAGTGAAACAGTTTCTCTGTATTGCGTGTAAAAGGCTCGACGTGTTGCTTTACAAGCATAAAAGAAATAAGTTGACCATAAAACCGTCACACTCAGCTGAGATATGTTGTAACTTTACACCCCATCGTCGTACATGTGGTTGTTTGCGGTGGTTTCCTTGCTACATCTATTACTAAGAGTTTGAGTATGACTCAGTGACAGTATATTGATTCATCAGTTTTCCAGCACACTGAATTTGACTTCAAGTCAGCTTTCAACATTTGGGGCAGAAACTTTAGTGATTGGTAGCGTGTGACGTCTTCATAGTCACGGAAATTTGAGGACTTTAACGTCGGGTCATGAACCTTAAGCCGAGGGCGAAAAATGGTTACCTGACTGATCCTGTAATCTTCTTCTTTTGTTGCGTTTGGGTTTAAACTGTGCAGAGCAGCCCTCTCAGCACAAACTCACGTCACTTTGTTCCGTTTGGGTAGAATAAACGATCTATCCATCCCAGTCATGATTCACCCAACAGTTTGAGTTAAATTCAGGCTTTTGTGTCATGACGGATGTTTGCAAAATCACCTCGGCTCGAGAATAAATATACAATTCACAAATTCTTCCTTCTCTGGTCACCATGCTGTCTTCTATTAATGGACATTGTTTTAGGCACACACACCTTAAAAGCTTGGACTGTGCCCTTAGTTTATTTATGATGAACTGTATGCGTTTTAATTAGCGAGTTTAGCTGCTGCCTACCAACCAGCCCCTGCTGGGTCCTCAAAGCGCCATTTATTTGCTTCTCCTGTTATTCTATCAGAGGACCTGCTGACTGAACTGCAACCACAGCGTCTTACACGGCTGCTACCCACAGCAGGCCCTGCTCTGCTTTCAGAGTTTATCCACATAGAACCTGCAACAGGACAGGATAATGTAAATGTGGAGCACAAAAACATTTTAATAACAAAGGACTGAACTGAGTTTTGCTCACTGTCAGACAAAGGTAGATGTAGCAGTTGTCGTAGAGGTTTGATATTCTTTCATGCTTTTAAATCGGAGGGTTAAGCACTTCCTCCATGTTTGTTCTGTTTCTCTTTTCTTATTACGGATGTTTTGAGTTGGTGTGTAATAGAGTAATGACTCCATACATGGAGGGGGGGAAAATCATCAATCAATCAACCAAACGAGTCAGTCCAGCTCTTGTTTCATTATGGTCCTCGGCTGACTCACATTAACTAAGCACGTTTACCTTCTCTGCCTATTTGTATCGTTTCCCTGAAGAATCAATGAACCGTCAGTATAACGGAGACCTTTTAACCTGAGGAGTGCCATGCCACGGAGCGGTCTTTCTTTACAAAATTGCAGGCAGAATGTCAGTGGGTTCAGCTAAAATGCTTTTCGATCTGTATTTTTGCACACTCTGAATACTTTAGAATAATTTTCATTCACAGGAGAAATTAAAAAGATCAGTTTTCTTGTTGAAATTCACACTTTTGCTGTTAATTCAGAAATACCAATGAAGTAATTAAATTGCTGCAGTACCAGTATTTTAAAATGAGAATTTCTGTCCCCGTGGTTTGTAATTTTTAAATTGCTGCAATATGCCTTCAGCACCAGTGCATTGGAGACACTGCCAAAAAATTCATCAAGTCAATGTTCTTGTTCAGGTTTTACAACTTAGATTTGCAAACACAAAGCCAGAAAGCTGCTTTTGTATTATCGTGTGTGTGTGTGTGTGTGTGTTGGGTTTTTTTTCTTTTGTTTTTGTTTTTTTTTGTCTTTGGGGTGTGTGTTGTGAAGATCCTATTGATAGCAAGACTACATCAATGTGTTGTTTTAAGATTATAGCTTATAGTTGCACAGATAAATATGGTTAGGGCTTCTCTGAGCACCATTTAAAATCTCTGTAATCTCAAACCCTTCACACCTGTTTGAGTGCGTCGGCCAGTGAAGAACCGTCGTTTGTTCAGCTGCTGAACTTGAGTTTCTGAAATTCAGTAGTAATACTAAATATACCAGTGGGGGTTTTTTCCCATTGATGTTCAACGTGTCTCAACACGACGGCAATTAGTTTGAACAAAATTCATTCGCTTTAACCTGAAAACACAAAGTCGTGTTTTCACGGCAAACAAGCGGCGCGACGTTTGGCACGTACTCTGTTTGAACACGCTGCCATTACACGCTGCCAAGGCCACGCTGCTTTTTATGTGCGTTTGTACATGTGCTGCTTTTTTTTTTTTTTTTTTGCCATGCACTGTTTACTCTGCGTGTGTTCGTGGTTGATAACCAACCCACTCATGTTTTCTTCTCACTTTGTGTCTTTGCAGGAAGTTCGGGGAGCGCCCTCAGCCACAGCGCCTAACAAGGTGAGTGTGCACACGCACTCGTGGTCCCTTTAGAGCTTGTTTTCTTGTCATAGTGCTGGGTTTTGTGTGTTCCTTTGTTTATGTATGCCGTTGTGTTCTTGTGAACACCTATTCTAGGGACTCGCCCCCCCCCCCCCCAAGGTATTTGCTACCTTTTTTTGTTTGTTTGTTTTCTAGATTTGATTTTGTTTTGATTATTACTATTTTGGACACATTCTCAAAAGAATGAAAGTATAGAGACCCTCTGAAGTAACCCTAATATGTGGCTTACTAATACCACTCTGGGATTACCAATAAAAAAAGAAACCTTTGCAATAAAAAACATCAAAAACTACACAATTTTTTCCACCCTGTTGTTTAACTCCACGCCCCTCCCCTTTTTTCTTAAAAACATAAGCTTAAAGCTACTTCAAATCACTTCACCCAAACCTAGTGTTGGGTGATTACATTAGTGGGTGGATATCAGCTGCAAGGCTCTAAAGTTATTAAGTGATTTATTTCTCTTTTCTTTTTTACTTAGACTGTTAGTTCTGCTTATTTATCCAGTTTTTTTCTTTTCTTTCTTTTGCCTGTTTTCTCTTGTTAGATCATGATTATGATTGGTCCGTGTACCCACTACACCCACACACACACACACGACACACGCACATTACCTTCAAAGCGTGCAGAAGTCCAAGCATGAACTTTGTACACGCGCTGGTGCACGCCCATACCCGTCTGTTTTGTACATTGAGGGCACATGTGTAACTGTGGCGTTGCAGAAACAGTTTAAAATGAAACTCATCATGTGACAGTGTCAACTTGATGCATCGGTGGGGATGTTAGTTAAAAAACCTCCTTAGTTGACAAACTGTCACTATTAACATGAACGATTCTCGACATTGTCCACCGGCACATCCCCAACTGACACCATGTGAATAATAAATACCTCGCTTTTTTCTTTAACAGGAACTTTTTTGTTTTTAACTACGATTTCCACGCCTAATTTTTTACAAGCGTTTTAATAATTTTATATTCACCAGCAGGTTTGCCACATAAAATCTGTTGAGGCAGCGAGGAGCTCATTTCAGGCTGTGATTTCCAGAAGCGGAAAAATGCGTCTTTAACAACCGCTGCAACGTTGTTGTTGATACAACAATAGCGTACGACATGTGCAGCTTTACTGTGGAGTCCTGCACAGCTGCTTTCTGTTGACCCCAGCTTTGCTGTATTACCTCATTTTTGTTCTGCTATTGATCGCTCATTACTTAGATCTCTGCAGACTCGCCTCCTTTGGGACTGTTTTAATGTGCGTGTGTTGAAATGAACCGTGCTATTTTTTGCCGTTGTTTGTGGAGAAACATGCTAGAGAAGCAATAAATAACCCTTTCTGAGGCCTCACGGTCCGAATGTGCGCTCTCTGCGCTGTACTCGTCTTACTGTGTGTAGCTTTTTTGACGAGCCGTACTGCAAGTTTTTGATTATTGAGTTCTTCTTAAGTTTGCTCCAAGTTACTTGGAGTAACATTTGGGTGAATCCAGACCGTTGATGGATGATGTGGGTTGCTTTTTAGGGATTGTGTGGGTGCGCGCACGCACTTGTTTGCTTATTGGTGTTTGCTGTTCTGAATAACAAAGAGTGTGTGTGTGTGTGTGTGTGTGTGTGTGTGTGTGTGTGTGTGTGTGTGTGTGTGTGTCACTCGGCTTTTGCGCGTGGCACTCAGCGGGGAAAATGAGGGGGTTGCGTGTTGCTTGGAACAGCCGAGCGTGGTTTTGGAAAAAGGGGCCCCTGCACCTTTTGATGTGTCCCCCTCTTTATTCATGTGCTGCCAGTCCGCTGGCTCGCACTGGCCCTTCGATTCGTCTGATGGTTTTTGATGGCCAGAAATATGACCGACACAAAACACTCTTTAACAAACAGCCGAAAGGCACAACAGAGCTCGTTTAGTTCATGTGACTATGGTTATGGTCTTTGTTGGCCTGTCAATCTGCCGTAGAGTCTTCGCGTCCGCAGGTTTTCTTTGGGTGCTGCTCTAAAATTTTGCAGCATCCCGCAGGAGCTTTTTATGGCAGCCGAACCTCCAGGTCCTAGAGGTTCACACTGTCAGGGAGGCTACTCGACTGGAACAAACACTTCTAGGGTTCAGACACATCCGCTTGCACAAATTTACACAAACGGACTCAACATGAGAATACAGGCTGGGTTGCCAAGTTTACTGGCAACTAATTTACTGTTTGTTTGGTTTTTTTTAAATAACAAGCAAAGAAACAGAAAATGGATCAATTTACACATTCAGTCTAAAAAGTATAAATTTGCAAATATAAAAATTTGGAAATTAGTCATAAGGGATTACAGTCTAATGGGCACGTAGAGTTTGACTTAAAGGACTTTAAAACCAATACTGATTTTGATATTTGGTGATTTTAACAATTCAAGATATGGGCCAATATGTTTATTTTCTTTCAGACACACAAAAACAAAATCAGTTTCCCTAACATTTTTGCCATTCATCAGTTATAAATGCTGATACCAGCATATCTGCAGGAACTGTATTGTCAATAGCATAAATGAGCCATTTCAAACTGTTAATCACAGCTACAACTAGAAGAAG